CTATCTTGGATAAAACTTAAATCAGATAACACATAATTAATTTGGCATCAATTTTGAGTATAAAAAGGTGCTAATACATTCTCTATATATAAGCGATTTTCGAACCTTTGTTTTGATTATGTAAATTAAAATTTATTTTTTTTAAGAACTCTTAGTTTACACTTAGGACGACCTTAAAAATGATAAATTCACATAAGTGATCAATCACACTTAGATAAAAAAAAGTTTAGTGGTTACTTCGTAATTTTTTTATCTAATAGGTAGATTTCTCAACCTAGACTACTCTTTTGACCATAAAATACTCATAATATATACTTTTGGAAAGTTTTAAAGAGAAACACCTTATTGTAGCTCTGTCTTTGACTTTAGATGGAGCTTAGACCAAGAGTGAGTTCGTATAATTATTTTTGTAAGCATCCAAACCGCCTTTACATTAATTTCGGTAAAGATTTTATTGTACTTTAATTTTTTTAACCGTATAACTATTCATTTCGAAACGTAAGCAAGTGACTTAATCATGTAAATTTTTGTGTGTTTTTGTTTGCCTAATTTCTTTATGGTTTTTCCTATGTTGTGTTTGCGTAATTTTTTCAACTTATTCCTAGCTACTTTGTTTCTTAGATCATATGCTAGAATAAAATATGCATGACTTTTAGAACGTAATATCTATAAACTATAAATAAAAAGCATCCTCAAAAGTTTTAGAATTTGACAACTGTACTCTATAATGAAAAAACCATATTAACTTTTATTTTTTAGTTAATGACTAAAGCAACGTGACTAAATAATCGTTACTGGTTTCTTTTTTGTTTATAGATAAAAAGTATCCTGAAAAGCTTTCGAGTTTGACAGTTGTACTCTAGAATGAAATGATCATATTAGCCTTTATTTTTGAGTTAATGACTAATATCTTTTCATTTTATAGTTGTCCAACCCTGTTGAATTGAATCTGTTATGGGCTTAGGTGCTGGCTAGAAGACAAGTGAATGAATTTGGATACGAAAATACATGGATCTGCAGGTAACTGCATGGTTGTTAATGCCACATAACTAAATAATAGTTACTGATTTTTTTGTTTTCTTTTGGATGATCGATTTAAACGTAAGAAATTTTTTTTTTTAAAACTTTGTTTATTTACTTTTTAATCTATTACGTGTATTAAAAACAATCTCATAAGAGTTATTTATTTTTACATGGTTGATTTCAATTGGTTTAAATTTATTTTTTATTAATTAAAAGGACAATGAAAGAAAAGATTAAACAAAAATAAGTTTCCAAAGTTTCAATTGAAACTTGAAAGTTACTTCTATATAAAATAAAAAATATATATTTGTACATTTTTATTAGAAGAATGGTTCTTGACATATATCCTACCTAAAGATAGGGTTGAAAATTTTTTTATTGTTGAAAGTATTAAAGTGTTTTTAATGATTATGGATTGAATTAAAAAAGATGAAAGCATCTAGAATCAGAGAGGAGAAAGACCAATTGAGGAAAGAGGAATAATGAAAAAAAGAGCGAAGTAGTGATTACATAAAATAAAGGAGTTTGGCTTGAGAAGTTTGAGAAAACCATGTTTTTGGAACTTACAATAAAATTAAAGATATGGTATGATGGTTAATGATTACTCTTTCTTTTAGAGGTGGCAATTCAATAATGGATTGTGTAATTAATTTATATCTAACAGTTATTTTATTTTCTTAAAATATCCTGACACAAAATTTCATATATTTTTATATAATTTAATGTCTGTTTTTAGAACACGACGAGAGTAAAACAATCAAAATAAATTAAAAAATCAACTCCTAATTTATTTGTTACATTTTTATAATTTATTTTTAAATTTTTATCTTTGTGCAGCTTATATTTCTTTTTTATTTTTTTGAATAATATTTTTATTTATTTTTATATTATATTTACTATTATCAATAAATAAAAAAAAACTACATCTTTCAATTACCTCGCAAATTTAAAAATTCTTAAGATAACAACAAAGTGGGAGGTCTCATACTAGTGCAAGAAATGGTTATCGAGTGTGTTAACGTGAATTTGGTAAAATTGCCTTGTTCAATCAGTATAAATTCTGTTTTTTAATTGATAAAACAATGCAAATTTTTACTATTTCTTCTCGTGGATATACATAAGCTATCAAGAGTTATGTAAGTTCTTGTGTTTCTGGTTCTATATTCATTTCTTTTTATAAATAGATTTGCTGTATTATAAGATCAAATACGTTAGGACCTAATTCTAAAAGGAACTAGCTAGTATCAGATCACCCAATTTACAGTTTTTGACAAAAATTCTTTCAACAAAGGAAGTAGATAGGATGATGGTTCAAATAAAAATCCATGTTCTAAGCCGATCGAGTTGATTTTTTGAAAACTTAAGCTCTCGAGCCATCTACAAAATTTTTAACGGTAAAACAATAAATATTTTTATATTATTATTTGTAATAGCGTGTAAAAACATGACACAGAATATTAGCTAGGTGTGATGGTTAGGATTTGGTGAGGTTGAGTGCTACAATTTGTCATCTAAAGAGGGGTATCTTATATATCGCCTCTAGATCTGCCCATAAATTAAAGCTTGTTCTTAGCTAGCTAGCTCTTTGAACTATGAAAGAACTATATATATATATATATATATATATGTATCTTCCTTGTTCAGTGATTAATGTCATAATTCCTTGGATTGATTTGATTTATCTTAATTACGTACCTTAGATATGGGTCTATATAATTCTCAAGAATAAAATATGTGCCAATAAACAGTTAGAGAAAGATACCATGATCCATCAGGTAGTTGTATACTCTCAACGAAGTTGATTGCTTTGCCAATGCAAGCTTCTATTTCTTTCTTTTGTGAACTGGATACAGCTTGAAAATAATTTAAGGCTTGAATTGCTTGCCGAAGTGCATCCAAGCATACCTAAAATTTATCAAAATTTTTGATGTGATTACAGTAAAGCAACATTTTATGTAACCCAAAGGTTACAAAGCTAGCCGTAGCCAAAGAAAAAGATCCATGATATATATGCGTGCTCGAAATATATTTTTGAAATTACGCGGTGCATGTTAGTAATAATACAGAACAATACAGGTTGTCACTCCCCAACCAAAAAGAAAAACATATATAGTAAGAAAACTTAAAACAAATATTTTCCTATCTTACTGATAGTCAATGATTATATCTCGAAACATTTCAGCTGGATTGAACATCTGTAATACAGGAGAAAAAAGGTTTAAAACTCAAACAAAATCATCTCTCATTTATTAATTAATTAGAACGTGGATATTAAATGAATGAAAAAACTATTAATTCTTACTTCCAACCATGCATAAGATCTCGTGAGCTCATATGATGCAAAACCACCACTGTTATTCTGTGAATTAAGAATAAGCAAAATGCTAAATATTGCGGTTAATTATGAAGGAATACTATTTATCTACATAATATGTTCGCAAACAAGTATAAAAATTTTATAAATTGACGTGTCCATTAATTATATATAAATAAAAAATAGATAAATGTGAAACTGTTAAGCCAACAAAATTATTTAAATAGACAACATATATATATATATATGAATGTGGAGTTTTTTTTTATATATATAATTTCCATTGATATATAAGTAATTTCAAAAGAGAAAAAAAAAATGTTATTGCTGTCTTTGTTCTTTGATTCATAGAAAACGTTTTCCTCACTATTCTCTTATAATCATTTTTTTTATGTCAACCAAGTTCTTACCTTTCATATAACTTGTCAAGCATTGGGTTGATTCTACTCCATTAGTCATACAGGTTTTGTGTTTTACCCTTTGTTACATTGCATGTTTTTGTGACACTCTACTTCATAAAAGAGTTAATTACAAAAAATAGTACCCAGATTATGTGAAATTGTAATTTGATACCTAAACTTAAAAAAAATTGTATACTACCCAAAAAAATGTGCATTCTTATACTTAACTATCAAACGCTATCTATGTATTCCAGTCCTGTTTTTTGGCCAATGAATTCCAGTTCTACTAACGGATTTGGAGAGACTGCTAGGTGTTTAATAACCAATAAATTCTTGCCAAGTGTAACACCATCTAAATTAAAAGGACATATGTCATTACACACATGTAACCACAAATCAGTAAAAACCTTAATATATCGATAAATTAGTAAATGAAAATTAAGTATAATATGTTACCTGTAAAGATAAAATCACATTAACAGCCTCATATAATCGATCTGGTGTTGTAACCTTTACATCAACGATGTCAGATGGCATTGTTGATAACAAAAGTGCTGCCTACAAAACAATCTGGAATTGTTAAACATAGATCATATATATTTCTCCTTAGAGTCACCATGTGGATTAAGAAATTAAATATTTACCTTCAATCCTTCTGATGTGCAATCTGAGACAATCCAACCATTATCTGGAGTTGAGAAAGGCCATCCTCCCTTTGAAATGTGGCGATACCAGAAATTAAGGTCGCCCGCCACTGTTTTCTTTGACCTAAATAAGACAACATTCAATTTGATTAATTATCATGCACTTTTAATTAACCTAATATTATATTACTTAAAAATATTGTAGAACAATGTAATTTGATGGTTGAGAAATAATACAACTTACTATTATTATTATTATTATTATTATTATTATTATTATTATTATATACTAAAAACATTATTATAGATGTCGATAACCAATACTTGTGTATTTTTTATGAAGTTGTGAGCTTTCTTAAGCATTGAACCATATTCCTCGACAAGGTCGGTTGCCAGATTGATTGAACAGAGAAAGCAACATCCCATAATTGAGATCCATTGTATCCCTGCATGATGGAAATTACCATTTAATAATTTGTTCATCTTTAATTTTATATACATATATATATATATATAACCATCGAATTAATTTGACCAAACAAAATTCTGTTAGTGAGGTAGGCGAAAATCTGATCCAATCTGTACAAGAAAAGAAAGCAAGATTGTAACCGAGTATACCTGCATTTTCATGCCATCTTCGGCAATCCAAAGGTAATCTTTAATTCTGGAAAGGTGACACTTGTATCCCTCTGAGTTTGGGTCTTCTACCCAACAACATACCATGTTTAGTACCTGATCGATCATCCATGAAAGATAGTGACTGAGAGAGACATCACGTTCTGTTTTAGTTTCACAAGGCATGCAGTAGAAAATTAATGTTGGTTTTCTCATGTTCCCATACCCAAAAAACAACTCAATATATATATATATATATATATATATATATATATATGTAGGACACAAAAGTCCACTTGCCTATATCATTAGGCTACTCTGGTCACAAGCCGGATCACTGTGGATAGCATAGATACCGAGTTATGTGCTCAAGGACGTAGTAAATGGGAAATCCTAGCATATCAAGTCATAGTTGGGCCATGAAGAAAACTGCTAAAATGAGGAGCATTGCTTACAGATTCTTAATGCAGACAGAGGATGGAGTTTGTATGGAACACTATAAGCACAAGTTACTCCACAACTAGTGTTTGGGAGGTACTGAGACAAAGAAAGCAGAAGGGTGGATTGACATAGGCTCATTTGGTGGAAATCCATATTCTAAAGATGCTATGGTTTCTTAGATGGTTGCTCTTAACAAACTCCCTACAAAAGATGGGGCTGTTATCATGGGATATCTATAGATGACGTTGTGTGCTTTGTAACAGGAAATGGGAGAGCAGAATCATCATTTTCTTTAGTTGCACATATTCAAAGGAAATTTGGAAACAAATTCTACATCATTGCTAACTTGCAAAGAAAGGTGACAGGATGGAGAGGAGTTTGTGGTAATACGATGGTTGAAAGGAAAGGCGTTTGATTCAGAGGCTAGCTTGGAGAGTTTGTTAGTAATTTAGAATGTGGTACATCCAATGTTGGAAAGAAAGATTTAATTATTGATAAATAAAATTAATTTTTGTATTTAATTTTATTCATATTTTAAATAATTATGTTTAAGCAAAAATAATTATCATATAACAAATTATCGTAATTATTTAAATATAACTAAATTATTATTCATAAAAGTCATAATTATTTAAATAGAAGTTTATATATGTTCATTCATTATATATAAATATTTTAGTATAATAATTTTTATTACTTCTAATTGGAGAGTTTAAGGTTTTATTGTATTTTAAAGACATAATTGTCTTTAAAAAAGTATTTTTCACACCTCAAAGCCAATATTCTGTTCCTTTTTTTTCTCTTACCTTATTTATTTTTTCTAACAATTTAAAGGCAATTATGATAAATTTATATTTTGCATGAAGAAGATACAAGGAAAAGAAATTGGCATGATTTGAAAATCAATATTAGATGAGGCGTAAGGTGTCAAAGAATTAATGTTTCCATGGACGAAAATGTTAATTTTCATAAAAATCTTCATTAGAGTTTTTTTTTTTTTGGCATAATTGCTGGTAAACAAGATTGACTGAATGAGATAAATACATTAACAATTAATTTCATTAGTGTGTAAAGTCAAAACATAGTATGCAAAATATTGATTACGTTGCATAAGTTTATGCATATATTAAAATTGACTGCATAATTGGGTTTAATAAATTGTATTATATATATTTGAAAAACTGATGCTTTTAAAGACTGAGATGGGAAATAGCTTGAAAACATAAAAAAGAAATATATGAATTGATCTACAATCAAAAGAATTATCACTTGTTATCAAGTAATAAATTAAATTGGGTTTTAATGGAATGGTTGATTGTTTAATTGTCATGTCTTAGTTATAGATAGAATAGGCAACTTGTCACATGGTTTCTATGAAAACAATTGAAAATGAGTAAAGGAATTTACTAGAAAAATTAGATGTAAGTGGAGAATATATGTAGAAAATAAGATTTTGCTACAAGATTAGTTTTATTTTTAAATCATGGAACCAAAATTGAGATAATAAGTTGAGTCAAGCTATTTGTATGGTTTTATCTTTGTTGGTCATTTATAAATCAAATATTGATATATTTTTTAAAATTTATTATTGGTTCAAATTTGACTAGTGTTCAATTTTCATGAAAACCAATTAAAATTTAATTGATATATATATATGAATAATTATTATTAAGATATAGTGGTTCATGGATTAATTGGTGGATAATAAACCAAATAAATGTTATTATCAGAAATATAAGATTTGTGACATGTATTTGGCCTGCTGGGTGTATTACACTAGAAATGATTTTATAAAATAAAATTGTATTATGAATAATCATAAAGTGGAAATTATAAGTAGCCATCCAAGAGTTAATCAATGATTACACAAAAGCATTGTTGCATTTCTCATATAGGATACTGATTAAAAGAGAAGGCATGTTATTAAAAATATTGAAGCATTTGTCAGTTACTAGCATTTTGATGGATGCTCATCAATGTCTAAGTAGCCATGTTTATAAATTAGAAAAGAACATACAAATTCAATATTCCAAAGGCACCAATACATGCATGTGTTTAATTCCATTTTGTGATGGCATGGAGAATATTGGTACAGTTTGTCATATATTATGAAAATGAACTGAATGGGATGAAATTTTTTTTATATACACATATAAAAAAGATATGGACTATGGAGATAGAATGCCACCATCCTATTAGTACATTATTAGTTAGAGACAATTAAGCTATTTTTACTTCTTGTACCCAAAAAAATGGCCTTTTGTAAGTTGTTAAAATGAAAAGTGAATAAGTTTTTGAGGTTTTCAATAATTTCATGACAATGACAAGGATGTGGCTAGTTATACACCATACATATAGGCTTAGATAATAATATTGGTTTATGAAAGTCGTAAGCCTTAGAGTTAGCCAATCAATGATTTAACCAATGCAAATTCATCATGAATTTTTGCATGAAATATGAGTAGAACTCATATTATAATTATTGTTTATACATTTTTATGAAAATGATTCTTGATTCATGTTTCATTACTTGCATTGATATGGTGATCTAGATATAAATATATTGATCACAAAATGATTGTAAAAGTATTTGAAATTGAAGTTAAATATACTATGGACTCTTATTGTACATAGGCATATTAGTCCTATAAGTTAAAGTTTGAATTTATTATATATCTAAAAATGTTATGACCAATTAAAAGTAGTAAATAATAGATATATAGCGTGACACCTCAATCCCATATCAAGATAATATGAGGTTCTGTTATGATTATATATATATATTATAAAGATCTAAACCCAAACTTATGAGGTGCTTTTTATGGAGACCTCCACCCAACCTGCGAGATATTATCTGTTTTGACCGAAGATAGAGAAAAAAAATTAGTTATATGATGTTTTAAGGCTGTTATTTGGTGATATTGTTACAAGATTAAAGACATATATGGACATGTTTATAAGAATAAATTAGAAACTTCATTGTAAGGGATGTTATGGACAAAGGATTTGTTGGGTGCAAGAAATATTATAAAGTCAATTTGATGTTTTTGGGTTATGTTTGAATGATATCAGAGTGGCGCAGTGGAAGCATGGTGGGCCCATAATCCACAGGTTCTAGGATCAAAATTTGACTTTAATACATTTGTGGAGACTCGCACCTAACCTGTAAGGTATTATTCATTTTAACCCGAAGGTTTTATGATTTTGCCCTATAAAAGGTGCCTCGTAAGTTAGTTTAAATCTTTACTTATATATTCATAACAGAATCTCAGATTATCCTAATGTGGGATTAAGGCATCACATATAGGCTGCACAATTGTGAGAAATAAAGTTCTCATAAAATTTTGAAATCAAGTTTAGAGGTTTCAATAGTAATGAACTTAGAATTGGCCACTGGACAATTAATATATGCATTGGAAACTCATGATAACATTTGAGATAGTTGGTTTTCATTAAAAGCCATCACTATAAATGAGATAACTTCAGTAACGAAATCTACATGATTTGTAGGTATGATGTGGATTATTATAGTTAGCTTAGAATAACCATAAGCCAAAATTAATGCCGCAATCTTGATCACGTTGTGATAATTTTTTGTTATGTATATTCATGGATTGTACAAATGATTTATCATCTAGGATTTTATATAATGAAATTTTCAAAGTATATTTACTTTGGAAGTCATGAGTAATTCAAAAATCTTGTGAATATGAAAACTTTTATAATAGTAAAAGAAATGTTATTTGATCCATTTAGGTGATGGAAATAGATTTGTTCATGGTAATAAATATTATTAATAGTGTCCATGATGAAATAGATTCATATAATATTTATGAATTAACATAAAAAGTTTTAAAAGGAAACTATAGAAGCATGATTATATTTAAAATCTACTTATTAATGTAAACTATTATATTGAGTTAAAATATAAAAGTTTTAGAACTTTTATACAAATATTAAGATATTTGCTAGTTATCTTTCATTAAGAGTGGATTTAGAAGCCTCCTAATTAAAAAAAAAAAAAACCACCAAATAATGAAAAGATAAATAAAATGGCAACTTGATTAAGTATATATGATATCTAGATAATTGAATGAGACATTTTTTAATAAAAGAATGCGTATTTGCACATGATGGGGGTGATAAGAATCAAAATAAATTAAAAATTGCTACCATAGTGTTGTAAAATTTTAGTATAATTTTATGAGCAAATTATACAAGCTAATAAGTTTAGACACTTACTAAAGTAAAATCATAAAAAAATCTTTAAAATCTTAAAAAGACTAAAAAGTTTGGTTTATTCATTAAGTTTATCCAATTATACCATAAGTATAATTATATTAAAGATGTACAAAAATATGAAAATAGAATGATTGAAATTTATGAGTATAGAGTTGTGGTCACAACCAATGACCAACTATTTTTTAAAATGATAAGAATGAAGCAATAATGTCTAGAGTATATAAATAATATACAAAATGAAAAGTTTGGACATATTAGCCTAAAGTGATTATATTAGAGATTCAATCTCAAGTTAGGGTAATTACTATAAAAGAAAATTGAATTCTAAGATATTTGATTAGTAATACTACAAGTAGAATGGATTTAAACCCTTACTATTAGACATCAATAATGGGAACCCAACTTTGAATTAGTAACGTTGAATTACAAAGTCT